ATATGTATATATATAACCAATTATTAGATTCAACTTTCAAAGCAGCTAACTTAGGGCATATATGTTTGATGGAAAATACTTTGGAAGATGTATTTGTTTGTTTTGTTCTTATTTGAAAACAAATGTTTTTTTCCCCTCTTTACTTCCTTTTCAGAACAACTTAAAAAAGAAAATGGTAAGCTTCAACATTCCATTTATAGACAAGTTATTGTCTTCTAAGGGAACTTTTTTCCCTTCAGTCTTTCCTTATTTCTGCCATTAAATTTCCTCTGGATGTATTTTCATGCCTTTTCTCTTTTGTGGTTTTTATTTATTTTTATTGTTACAACTTCCTTTGTATATTCCTCTTTTCTCTGTTGTCCTCCCATCAGTTACATTAGTCTCATTCTTGAATTACCTCTAACACATGTAGTATTTTTAATTTTTTTTTCATGATACTAGCAATAGCCCCTCCTGTCTAGTGTGAGAGAAGAGTCAGTCTGCTGTAACAAAGTATTAGACAGAGCTACTATTGTATCTGCTTTGCTCAAGATTACAGAATAAGAATGCTTTTTCTAGGCAATTCAAATCCTAAAAAGTGCTTTAGAGTGCTCCATGAAAATCAAGCCTGTTTTCTCCACTTTATGACTAGAGCCTCAGTGCCTGGACCAGTGGTGAAATTTATGCTTAGTGATGGGGACTCTTTAGAATATAATACATTCTGCAGTAATACACAGAAAGACAATATGTCAGAGTACATTTTAGTATGAATGCAATTCCAAGCTTTCCTACTGTCTCACTGCTATGTGAAAGTGTAAAACAGAGTTTTTGTTGCACTTACTTTGCTCAAGTTTCCATGATAAGAATGCTTCTTCTAACCAACACAATTCCAACAATGTGTTTAAGACAGTTTCCTAAAAAGTAAGCTTATATTTTCTGGTTTTTTTTTTTTACTTCAACTTTAGTGCCTGGACCAGTGGTGCAGTCATTCTAAGTGCTTAGTTATTAGGAATCTTCCTTTAGAAAGTATCAGACATGATATTCAACAATTAATCTGGCCACCTATGAATAGTCAGAACTTCATCATGTTATCTAACCTTCTGATCTTAAAACTTTTGTTTTTCTCATTTTTTCAGACCAAATTAAAGAAGAGAAAGGTGAGTTTATAATGAACAAAATATTCAGGGATGCCATGTCTTGATATTTGAGAGCAAAATTATGGGTATAGTTCTGGCATTTTGTCAAAACTTTGAACTGAGGAATACATTATTTGAATTTTTACTTCCATGCAACACAGGTATATCTTGATACATCTGAGGTAACTGTCGAACAATGGATTCAACATCTCTTGGCTCTTTACCATCAACTTAATAACATACTGTTGTTGTTAAGTGCCATTGAGTCACAGGCAACTCATAGTGACACTATGAAGGACACCACCTGTATAACTTTTGTCCTTTCTCCAGGTTCATAGTGTTTCCAGAGGCAAGCTATTGTGGAAGTGGATGCCACTCCTGTTTCCAAGCTTGTTTTAATCAGGGAGCTTCAACAAACACTGTTCACCATGGGCAACCATTCTTGCATTTGACTCATCAGTGTCACAGTGCTTGGCTTCACAGGAACCACGAGTTACCTCTGTACAGCAAATGGACATACCAGGGTTACATGACCTAGAAGAATGTTTCACCAAAACCATTTAAAGTCTGGGAGAGGGCCTGATAAAATTTTAAGCTAGGCCCTGGAACAGGCTCCACAGATTTGACCCCACCCTTACTTACCCTTACTGTGGGGTCAGGGCCACCCATCCACCTTTGAAGGCCGAAAATGGGAAAGACCCTAGAAACTTCCCTGGCCTGACTGCCACCAAGAGGAGCCTCCATGGAGATGCCAGCCCTCCCATTAGCTTAGCCAGCTGACTCCCCGAGTGTAGAGAGACTCCAGTCCACAAGCCTCCTGATGGATTAATAACATACTAATAAAAAAAAAAAAATAATGGGTCAAAGGAGCCTATGAGGGGAAGACATCAAGATGGATGACAGTTTCCCAAGTTTTTTAGTTTTGTTTCTCTTTTTGAATTCTAAAATGCAAACTGTGTTACATTAACACAGCAGAGAAACTACACAGTTTTCTTGTAATAATTTCTCCAATTTGAATCCTTGACATATTCTAGATTTAAAAATATCAGAAGGAATTTGTTAGCAGTGTGAATTTTGGATTTAAAAATAATGAGCTAATGACAACAACATCCTATCTTTCCAAGTATCACTTTTGTGCCACCTAGAAATTTGTAAAATGTTGAAGTAAAAATAAAGAGTATTAATACTTCATATCTCAAAGAACTGAATAAACTCAAAGGAAGAATACCTATTGGATTTTTTTTACTTGTGGGTTCCCTATAATTTTATTACTTTGTTACCTTTATTTTTCAGTTTAAATATAGTTCCCAGACCCACTATTACTTTGTATACTTGTCTTGTACTGGAGTTTGAAGGCTATTTGTGTGTTTCTAGAATGCTACTCAAAGACAGAAAATTTAGAACTCCAAAGAGTTGATATATTACAAGGAAGTGCCTTTGAAGTCAAATAAGTTTTTGATAAAACCTCAAGTCTGGAAAATGTCTAGAAAGACAGCAAATTATATATTGTTGCTTTCCTCTCTGTTTCATCTTCTAGATAATGTCATTAGTTACTCTTTTTTTTTCTATTAAAATTATTTTTTTATTATTAATTTTAGTAGACATTTACAGAGATTTTGGATTTCCTTTCATTCATTGCCTCACTTTTCTCCCTTTCCACCCCTCCCCACCAGCTCGCTCACCCCTCCGAAGAGAAAAAGAAAAAAAAAATATTCCTTTATTAGTATACAATTCCCACATCCCTTCCCCCCCACACCCCACCTCGAGTACACTTCTCTATGTAACCATTAGTTACTCTTGAATCCCACTGATGATCAAGTGTGATACTCCTTGTAAGATATGCAATGATGAGTCTCATTATAGCTCAAAGACTTGTTGAAATTCCCTGGCATTTATGATGATGGGAGTGTTTATGATGATGCTAATGAAGATATGATATTGGTGATGTGGAAATTATATCTAAATTAGTTGTTAGAGTAGCATTATGAAAAAAATCTGAATTTCAGATTATTTAAAATTTTATATATATTGAAATTAAGATTTATTCTTTCATATACTATTTGAAATATCACTTTATTATCCTTTTTCTTTTTGATGTTTCAGTCACATAGTCATACAATTAATAGCATGTATATTTAACCTTTAAAGAAGTGAACCTATGTAGCCTTTATGGTTGATTGAAAAGGTTTGGGGACATATGCTTGTTAGGTTTGGTCCTATTTGAAAGACAATATTTTTTTTCCTCTTTCTCTTTCAGAACAGCTCCAGGAAAAAAATGGTAAACTTCCATGAAAATCAGTTTATGGACATGCTGTTAACCTCCTACATGAATTTTGTTTGTTTCCTTTCTCCTTCACCTTTATTGCTAACTCCCACTGAATATATTTTGTGTGGTTTTCTCTTACAATTTTTATTTTTCTATTTCTAGCTGCTCTGTTTGCCCATTTCTATCCTATTTCTCCTTATTCCAAAAATCACATTTGTCATATTATTGAATTATCTTTAACAAATGTAAGATTTCTTCATCTTTCTTCATGATCAATATGTTTTCATGTTCAGTTTGAGATGACATAAATCTGCCATCAGAATGTGTTAGAGCTCTTGTGATATTCTGCTCCCAAAGTTCCATAGTTAAAGTAAAGCTTCTAGGTAATAGAGTTTTATCATAGTACTTGAAATAGTTCTTTAAAAACTCTCAGCTTTGTGATTGTAATATTGGTGCCTAGGTCAGTGTTGGAGTTATGCCATATACTTAGTGATTATGAATATACTTTTTTGGATATAAATTAGATTTTTTCAGAATTGTTTTTTGTTATTAATCTGGCCCCTAAGGTCAGAGTCTAATCATATTATGGAATCTGTTGACCTAGTAATTGTCTTAAGTTTTTTCTATTATTTTTCATAAAGTGAAGAAAGGTAAATCTAGGGTTTATCAATTTAGATGAATTCTTGCAAAGTCCTTGAGATTTTTTCCAAGGTTGTAAACTGCTTTGGAGGAGATGCTTCATCTTTCTCTCATAGAAGCATTGATGGATCTGAAAACTTCAACTTATGAGTTAACAGCTCAGCACCCTATGGACTATTCCAGTAGAAAATAGTGGCTTTCAATCTTATTTTTTCATCTTAGTTTTTCTTAAAAAACATTTTCCTGATGCTAAAACACACAGGCAAGTCAGGACCCTTGATTTCCTCTTCTATTACATATTAATCTAACACAGAAAGACAATGTGATGCTCAAAATTCACTGAAGCATGTTTCTTTTAAATATAACTGACAACCTAGTAGGTGCTGTTTAGCACAAAAGAGGTAATGAGTTGGCTGCTACTTGAAAGTGTTAATGCTTTAAGTTCACTCAGCAACACCTCAGAGGAAAGGCTTGAAATTTTATTTCCTAATATTGAGCCATTAAGAATCCTATGGAGCTCACTTCTGCCTATATAGACATGAGGTCACTGTGTCACTGTCAATTCATCATACACTGGTTACTGGCCAACAACCTAACAATGTGATAATAATGGAATAATGATGATCAAAACATTCTATGACAAAAAGGTTTTTTATTAAAAAATTACATTTCCTTCTTTTTTTATATAAAAAATCTTAAATCTGATTGTGATACATACATTAGCACATAACAGAAAAACTGCAGATACTCTTACAATTCAAGACATAATTTCTCCAAATTGAATTCTTGACGGGCTCTGGAATTTATGAACACCAAAAGCACTTTTTTAAAATTATTCTTAAATTTTATTAGTTTTAATGAACATTTACAGAGATTTTGGGTTCTCATTCATTCATTGTTGCACGGTTTTCTCTACCCTCCTTCCCAT